AGCAGCCTTTCTACCTCTTCCTCCTGACCTGACGCTGCCACTGCCGAGATCTGGTCCTCAGTCCTCTGGCTAGGCGCTGCAAATCCTGGTCCCTCCTGGCGCGCGCCTTCCGCGCCGTGAGCGGCGCCATCGCAAAGGCGCTGGCTCTCGGCCTTGAGGTCGTTCAGCTTTTGCCGCATCCGGCGGAACTCCGTCATGAGCTCCACAGTCGCTGCTGCCGCCGCCCCTGCTGCTCCTGCGCTCGCGCTCCCTGCCTCCGAGGCGTCGTCGTACTCCTCGAGGGCCCTGGGGCGGAGCAAGGTCGGCGCCTCGCGGGGCTCGGCGGCAGTCGCCGGCACGAACTCCACAACGCGCGTTCCTGTCCAAGCGCTCCTGGCTCCAGCTGCGCAGCCGCTCACCAATCGAGCAGATCCGGAGATCGTGCCCGAAGCGACCGAACCGATCGCCTGGCCCGCCGGTTGCCCACCTGAGGACATCAGCCGGCCGAGCCCGATCCCATGCTGCTGAAACCGGCGGGCGGCCTGGTGGTGAGCGAACGCGAAGTCCATCTCGTTCGCGCACTCCGTGCAGACAGCGTGGCCGGTACGTGGGGCGGTACAGTGCCCGTGCACCTGCAGGCCTGGCAAGGCACAGTAGGCCCAGTGACCACATCGCCGCAGCACTTGCGGGTGCGAATCAACCATGTAGATGCCGTACTCGATGAAGTAGCATGCTGAGCACCACGTCGTAGGTTTGGGTTCAAAACCCTTGTGAGCGCCTCGTGGTCGCCCACTGGGAAGTGCACAAGGCATTGACCACCCCAAGGGTTCATTTCTTCCGTAAGTTGTCTGGCGGAGTTTCTGGGATCACCAATCTCCTTTCTGCTATGTCAAACAGCAGAAAGATCGTTTCCTCTCTACTTATTGGCAGGGTTGAGAACCGTCTTCGGTTTTATCCCGAAGTGCTTACAAAGTAAAGTATTTGTTGAAACGATGATCCGTTTGAATTGCCGGAGCTGCTGTGTCGCAGGTTTGTGAATATCTTTTTCCCCACATCCAAAGTGGGGTTCTTGTTTTCTCTGGACACCCCGCGCAGGAACAGGAACACACACACACACACCCACTCACACTCACTCACACTCTCTCATCATCAACCTCATCAGCATCATCGATGATGCTCTCTCACATGCTTAGTCACTCACATACTCATCATCATCACTCGCACTCTCTCACACGCTCACGAACATCATCACATCATCATCATCGACATCGGCATCATCCTCATTCAAACATCATCATCGCCACCACCACTCACAATCAATCATCATCCTCTTCACCACTCATCTTCACCACCACTCATCATCCTCATCCTCATCATCGTTGAGTAAATTGTGAGGAAGTCTCAGGCGGGAGCCCCCTCCCTATGGGGCCCGCAGATCATGTTGGTAATCCGAGCGGGTCATCGGGATCCTGTAACTGTCGTCACTTTTGAGCTCCCCAGGCCTGAAAATGGAGGAAGTCTCAGGCGGGAGCCTCGTTGTGAGTGAATTGGGAGGAAGTCTCAGGCGGGAGTTCCCTCCCTATGGGGCCCGCAGATCATGTTGGTAATCCGAGCGGGTCATCGGAACCCTGTAACTGTCGTCACTTTTGGGCTCCTCAAGCCTGAATTTGGAGGAAGTCTCAGGCGGGAGCCTCGTCTGTGAGTGAATTCTGAGGAAGGCTCAGGCGGGAGCCCCCTCCCTATGGGGCCCGCAGATCATGTTGGTAATCCGAGCGGGTCATCGGGATCCTGTAACTGTCGTCACTTTTGAACTCCCCAGGCCTGAAAATGGAGGAAGTCTCAGGCGGGAGCCTCGTTTGTGAGTGAATTGGGAGGAAGTCTCAGGCGGGAGCCCCCTCCCTATGGGGCCCGCAGATCATGTTGGTAATCCGAGCGGGTCATCGGAACCCTGTAACTGTCGTCACTTTTGGGCTCCTCAAGCCTGAATATGGAGGAAGTCTCAGGCGGGAGCCTCGTCTGTGAGTGAACTGCGAGGAAGTCTCAGGCGGGAGCCCCCTCCCTATGGGGCCCGCAGATCATGTTGGTAATCCGAGCGGGTCATCCAAAACCTGTAACTGTCGTCAATGTTGGGTTCTCGCGCTGCCAGAACGCAGTCCCAGGCCACATTTTGGACGCAACAAGGAAGTTTTTGGGCTCCTCAGGTCGCCGAGGTGCTGCGACAGGGCGCCGAAGGCGCCGACGACGACGGCCAGGCCGAGGCGCGGGCGCGGAGCTTGCTGATGTTCAGGCCCAGCGAAAGGGAGTTCACATGGCAGAGCTCGGGGGCGCACAGCGTGCGCCGCTCGGGGTTCACCCTGACGCACGCGTCCTACCTGACCTCCACGCTGTCGCAGGGCCAGACGCTGCGCAAGGGCGTCACCATCGACTGCGCGAGAGACGAGGACGCTGGCCGCACGGGCATGTCGGACGAGCAGTGGTGGCTGCACCTCTACGTCATGTTCTCCCGCGCCACGTGCATGCGGAACATGCTGATCCTGCGGCCGCCGCCGCGAGAGTTCCTGGAGTGCGGGCCGCCGGCGTCCCTGCGGAAGGCGCTCCTGGAGTTCGACAAGAGAGCGGTTTTGTCCAGGGCGGAGGCGAAGCAGCTCGCGGCAGAGCTGGGCTTCGTGCTGCCTTCCGCCTGAGCGCGGCTGCGCCTCGCTCGAAGCCCGCGGGGTTGTCCCAACGGCTTGGTCTTGCGCGCCAGCGGCTCGCGGGGTTGTCCCGACAGCCTGGCCCGCGGGGTTGTCCCAACGGCTGCGCGACGTGACCAGTAGAGAACGCGCCTGTGCTGGCCGTGGCGGCGACGGCGCCGAGGAACATCGACATGCGCGCTCATGCAACAGGAAGGGGAGGAGGTGGCGGGGCGCGGAACAAACAGGGGGGCGAGGATGGGGACAACGTAAGGAGTGGAAGGGGGGCCCGCGCCAAGGCGAGAGGAAATATACGCAGAAGAGACAGCCAGGACGCCTCACCAACCACGAGGACGACGGTGATGGCTTTTTCCAGATTCGCCCAGAGGATTCTTATGTGGGGTTTTTCCGTCGGAGTAATTATTTGCCCATCGCGTCGCGTGGGCCTTGAGCCAAAATGGCTCCGGACATAAATTGTCCAAGTGCCAGAGGTGGCATTGCTACACACCTCCGGCGGGGCTCTGACCAGAGGTGGCACTGCTACGCACCCATGGTCAGAGCCTGTACGCAATCACTGTGGCAATCTAAACGGTAGTACGGCGGCGACGGCCAAAGCCTGGCGGAAACCGTGACACGCACGGGGGGTATTCCGTGACACATCAACGCTTTGCTATGATATACCTCACGCACCGCACAGCGCGGCAGCAACGAACATGTCACGAATTTCGTCTGGGAGGCTGTCCTGCCAGCGTGGCCGAAATCATGGCCACGGCTGTTCTCCTAAACACTGGCGAAAATATGCCGCAAATATGCCGCCCTACACTATGCCGCCCGATGTGTCGTGCAGACACGGCGTTATTGATTGATTGATTGATACACTATGCCCACACGCGCAGCACGGCACCGCACAAGCCTATGCACTTTGGCTGGTTTTGCCGGGGTCCCCGGTCCTCCGGTTGGGTTAATTACGTCACAGCACTGTCCGGAGCCCCAACGATTCACGAGGAAGGGGGGGGGGGGGGGGCGGCCGCCATTCAGGCCCGAGAGGACAGGAGGGAGGGGACGGGGGGGGCTTCGCTCTGTCGGGGGGGGGGGGGGGCTGACGCCAGCCGGGCCCGGGAGGAAGGAGAGGGGGGGGGGGACTGACGCCATTCAGGCCTGGGAGGGAGGAGGGGGAGGGGGACTTCGCTCTGCTGGGGGTGGGTGGGCTGACGCCATTCAGGCCCGGGAGGGAGGAGGGGGGGGGTGGGGGGGCTGACGCCATTCAGGCCCGGGAGGGAGGGGGGGGAAGGGGGGAACGCTATGGGCAGGAAAGGGGGGGGGGAACGCCCTGACGCCATTAAGGCCTGGGAGGAGGAAGTCGGGGGGGGGGGAGCTGACAAGGCTGACGCCACTCAGGCCCGGGAGGGGGATCTGGAGGGGGGGAGGGAAGGAACCCTGACGCCATGGCTGACGCCATTCAGGCCCAGGAGGGAGAAATCCGGGGGGGGCGGGAGCTGACGTCATGGCTGACGCCATTCAGGCCCGGAAGGCGGGAGGGGACATCCCATGAGTTTGGCTGTTCACGCGAGATCGTCACTTTCGAATATTCGACGTTTGCCCAAGCGAGCTCAACATCTCTATCTTATGAGGATGTCTCGAGCGAGTGCTCTTCTTTAAACATCAAAGGTCCTCCGTTGCAAGCAGAATCGGTAGCACCCCGGATCGGCGGCACTGGCCTGAGGCCTCTACAATATGTCACGCCGCAGACTCGTACGTTGCCGCCCGCATGCCGCTACAGCCTGTAGTATTTGGTTTCCCTCCCTTTCCAGTGCCCTCCTTATGGGTCTGGTCGTCGGTTACGGTTCATACGCCACTGGCTGCCTGCTAAGCTACTCTGTGCCTTTGGGAACTAAACATATCGTCCCATTTCTCTTCGTCAGTCTTCTTCCCGCACTGGCTTGCAGCCTGCCCTAAACAATTGACTCAAGTCTCGTCGCCCAAGTCGCTCATTCTGCCACCGAGACGCTGCAGCCCGATGGTGTGCCCGAGTCCGTGCAGCATGAGCAGAGGAGCAGGCAGCGGAGAACACCCGTCGTCGTCAGCCTCCTCGTCTCGGGCCGGGCGAAAGGGGGGGATAGCAAAGGGGGGGGGTGAGAATCAGCTCACGTAGCTGATTTTCCCGGCGCCTCCCAGCGCTGGGAGGCGCCCATGTATCGAGGAATGGGCCAGACGGCGGGGCCGAAACCAGCTGCATGCAGCAGATTTCGTAACCCCCCCTTTCCCCATCCCCCCCTTTCGTTCGGCCCGATCGTCGCCGCCGTCGTCGATGTCGTCCTCCACCGGCGGCGGCGACGACGAACGGCGGTCCTTCAGGAGCGCGATGCGCCCGCCGATCTCGGCGGACTGCGGGCCCAGCAGGTTCATCTGGTGCGTCACCTGCCCCACGGGCGGAGGCCCCAGGCGGGTCGGGCGAACGGTCGAACCCCTCGGAGCCCTCGAGCCGTCGAGCCCTCGAGCACTCGAGCTCTCGATCTCTCGAGCCGTGGATCCGTGGAAGACGACGAAGCCAAGGCCGGGACGGCATTGGAGCGGGACAAAGCGGGAACATCTGAGATCCGGCAGGTCTGGAGGATGCATCGGGCGCCGCGACCATCCCAGGGCGACCCACAACCCTCTCAGAGCGTTCTGGAACGCTCCGGAGCGATGTGTCCAACTCCGCCCGACGCAGGCTCCCTGCGCGGACCGGGGTGGAGGAAAGGGGAAGGAGCAGCGCAACGCAAAAGGTGCTAGCGAATCAACTCACGCGGCTGATTTTCTGGGCGCCTCCCGGCGCCTGGAGGCGCCAGCGTGCTGTACGGGGCCGATGCCAGCTGCAACCACCAGATTTCGTAGCCCCCCCAGTTTCCGATCCCCCCCTCTTTGAGCAGGGACCGACCGTCCTGGCTTTGCAGGTCTACCACGAATTAATTTCTCTTGTAAGCCAGACATGCTCGAATCACAAAAACACGGCTCTTCGAACATTTACCCCATGTGTTAGAACAAGACATTCTCAACCAGACATATTCTAAGAACATTTCGTGCAGACCACAGAAGATTATCATAACATTCCTGGCTGAGCCTATAGGCAAACCCGGACGCGTTGCCACTACCTGACCTCTTTCGTGCGACCAGGGTCAGGAGAGCCACTGAGCGCAGCGCGATGGCCAGGGAGGGCAGTGGCCCAGGCCTCCTGGCATCGCGAAACACATCGACGGGATGTTTGGGGGATGCTTTCGTCCTCCGAGGGTCCCTCGCTCGGCGCAAGCAACACGGTCGAACAAAACGGCTCGAGGCTCGAGGGGCACAATACCTGCCCCGCTCTGGGGAATCACGCTTGGAAAGAAGCGCGACGTCGGAGGTCTGGGATTTTTGGAAGTGAATTCGGTACGCCCACGATCTCGTTATGTAATATACCGCACCAACCCTGGCTTATCGCCAACATTCACATTCTCAAGTGGATAGTCGGTATCGCCGGTCGCCCGGGACAGGTGGAAGGATATCTGCTTTGGCCCGTCGTGCTTGGGGTCCACATTAGCGGCCTCCTTGTCTGACTCTTCGTCGCCCTCGGACGCCTCCTCGTCCTTGTCCTTCAAAGCGGTCTTTTTGGCGACCTTGGAGCCGGCCGGAAACTCGTGCTCGAGCGGCGCGTCGAGGAGGATGGAGCCCAGCTCCACCATCTCCTTCTTATCCGAATACTCGTCGCCGTTCGAGATGGTGATGCTATCTCCCACCTCGAAGCCCTGCGAGGACTCTACCTGGAGCCCCGTGGCCCCCACGGGGTGGCTCTGCGACAGCGACGTCGTGGCGGCACCGCCGCCGCTCCTCGAGCCGCCGTGCGCGCCCTGCCCGCCGCCCGCAGGCTCCGCAGGTGGGGCCCCGCTCGACGGGGGCGCCGGCCCGAGCGGCGCCAGCGCCGGCTCGAGGAAACCTGGCGCTAACGCGTGGGAGGTGCCCGCCGCCGCGGCCCCCGCCACGAAAACGGCCGCCACAACGACGGCGACGCGTCGGCCGGTGCAGCAGCCGGAGGCAGGGCCGTGTACTGCCGCGGCTAGTCTCGCAACAGGCGAGGATTTGGTGCACGCCCGCCTTCTTGGGCGCCCGCTCGCTCGGCGGTGATCTCGTGCAAAACGCGGAAGCCATCGCGCGCCGCCACCCCGCGGCCGCGCGCACGGCTTTCGGGCTGGGACGCCTTGACGCATCTCCGACCCCATCTATGAGGCCTAGGCAATCCCTACCCGGCTCCCCTCACCCTGGGCCCTGATTATATATCCGACGCTCTCGCGCGCGGCCGTTGGCGCCTCCGGGCCGTGGGCCCCGCCGTCGCCCGCTCCGCGGAGGCCGCCGGCGAGGGCCTGCGCCAGCCGAGGGCGCCCAGCGCCTCCCCGGCGGCGCAGCGCCACCGCACGACCTCGGCCACGGGCTGCTCTCGACACGCCAGCGCCTGCAGGCAGGCCATCGCCGCTGCGGGCAGGGCCGGTGGCCCTCCAGGCTCGCGGGAGAGCACCCGCATACCCCGAGATCCGGGCGCCGCAACTCTTTCGCACCGTCGATGTCGCCCCGTCTCGGGCCCCGCGACCCTTGCAGATCGAGCCGGCCCGAAGAGTGCCGCACAGAAGGTGGGGTCCGGGGGGCCCGGTCGTGATGTCTCTTGATTTTCTTCTGGTGGCGTCTGATCTCAAGGTGCACCGCCACCGTGCGTAGCCAGGGCAATCTGGAACGCGGCATGGTGTGTACGCCCTCCTGGCCGAAGCCAGGAGTTTGTCTATGCACGTCGTTGGTTTCTAATCGTGATGATGTCTAATTGTGCTCGTTTATAATTGTTCCTGACCCCCTAGTGGCCAGGAAAAGGCCCAGGATAGAACACTTAGAAATAAAAAGACCTCGGCCCAGTTTGAAAGGGGCTGGGAGGCCCAGCCAGCAGCTTCGCCTTAGGCGAAGCCAAGCTCCAGCTGTTGTACCGTAGTAGCGATAGTCCCAGTAGGAGAGGATGTGCCATCTCAAGCAGCAGGAAGATCCTTTTTGGTCTCGATAGCTAGTGTGTGCCTCGCAGTGAGGCGCAATCATAGTTGGGCGGCCGGCCGCTTGGGCCGACGCGGCCGCGGGCGCACGCTCGCTTCTACTCCTTACGTCCCTCAGCTCGCTTTAGAGTCGGGGGGGAGGGGGGCGAAGCGTGAGCCCGTCACCCTTATACAGCAGGCACAGCAGCTAGTGCACACAAGGACAAAAGAAAGAGAGCGGGCCAAAAGGAAGGTAGACCCGCTCGCAAGTTGCCTCGCTTGTACAGTTCTGCACTTGACGCACTCATCAGGCGGCGTCAGAACTTGATGTATGGCCGGCCGGATATGGAGTATGTCTCTTTAGGTCATGCTTGAGGGCCTGTATACCTCCCATGACTTGTAGGGGCATTTCTCTCTCGATGCTCCCCTTGGTGTGACCATTCAGATCGCGGGTGTCGCGCCACTGAATGCTGTGCACGACCCCACGCCCCATCATCTGTCGTATCCAACTGATGTGTCCAAAAGGGTACACTCAGTCGGCTTCTTCAAGTCTTTGCTTGACAAGAGCGTAAAAAACAGATTCGGCATCTATGGTCAAGGTGACCTCGATGCTCAGGCCACCCAACGCAATCATATATTTCAACTGAGTGGGCGTGAGCGGCCCTGCGTGAAGCTCGCGCAGAGTCACAGTCGTGGGATAACAGTCCTCCAAATTATGGGCTGCAACTAGCGTCCCTGCTGAATAGCTCGGGCGGGCCTGCGAGCGGTGAGACTTGCAGTGCGCATCGATCAGGTGAACGACAGGCTTACCAGATGGCGTGCTTCCGCGTCGTAGCAGGTTTGCCCTGCGAGTGCCATAGCCTTTGACGTCGTCGTCGGCGTCTCCATTCAGGCGTCGGTATCCTGAGTCGCTATGTATGTCGACCTCGCCCGTAGGATTCATCGCCTGGTAGACGATCTTCTTTTGGCAGGCCTGTAGCTTCCTGGTGATCGCGCTCAGTCGTCGCACTTGGGCGTTGGTTGGCTCTTGGACACGCTGCAGAGAAACGACATATACCATCAACCACGCCTGAGTGATTACTGCATGCGCCAGCGCGCCCCTGAGACTGACGAACATGTACGCAACCACCTTGGTTGCCTGAGCGTCAGCGTCGGCGCCGGTCAATTCGGGGCGTTGTATAGGACGGAGCTGCTTGATGTCTGCATCTTGGCCACAAGCGACATTGCCGTCCTCATCTTCGGTGCGTAGCACAGCACAGTTGGTGTATGTGTGCTTGTTGAGTTTACACTTGCCAAAGGTATCTTCAGCGCGCGTTTGACATACTTGCCCATGGTGTCCTCAATATCGGCCATATTAATGTCATCAACATGCTTGGCCGTGAGCAACTTGTTGCTCGTCTCGAACTCCTCGTCGTAGGACGTGGGTCGGATACCGAAACCTCTGGTAGTCCTTCTGAGCTTAGGTGAGAAAGCCCGCGGTGCGTCCTTGGTGCCTGTGCCTGGTTTCAAGCACTGTAGCCGGTGCTTTGACTCGCCAGAGTGCTCAAACCCTGGGAGAGTTCGGAGCGCTGTGGTCGATCCAGGCGGCAAAGTAAAACGCACCACACGTTCCTTTTCACCAGTAGCCTCAGCAAGTTCCTGATAGGTCAGCCCCTTCAGGTTGGCCATGTTGATGCCGAGGAAAACAATGATCCATTGCTTCCTGCACGCTGCCGTGCTAGCGAGTAGCCTCTGGCTTGACCGTCGCGCCGTTCCCGAACATGTCTCTACGTCGAAGGCTTCAAGGTCCATGAAGCCTCGGAGAACCAAGCGTAGTCTGATGGTACGTTCCATCTCGCCCTTCTAGTTCTTCGCGAACTTCCATGTGCACACGTATCTCAAAGTCATGATGTTCCACGCTGCAGCTATACCTTGCACCCTAAAGCATCTGTTAAAAAACCATGTCTTGAGTTCAGTGTAGAGGGCTTTCGATACTTCATCGGAACTCGCCTGGCTGTCAGCTTTAGCGAGGAGGTCGTCGTCCTTGACGACCACAACTCGCTTTAGAGAGGCGGTTACGTATACTCGCAAAGTGGTCACCTGGTCGGCATCTAGTATGATATGCTGTTGTTCAGACAGGACTCCCTGTGACGTTTCTGTCGTCAAGCAGAGTCCGACATATCGACCATTTTCATCTGAGTCCAGTCCGTAGCTGTCGTCTTCGACCATGGTGCGCATTGGGACGTAGTACGTCTCCTGAGTATCGGAGTCGCGAGTGCGCCCGCGCTTCGGCAGGTGCCCCCGCTGTCCATCAGCTACAGTGATCAGCGCACTTTGATCTGGAATCATCTGTGTAGGTATGGCGAAGGAGTCCACTGGTGGAGTTGCCTCCACCAGTTCTTTTTTCTCTTGTAGTTCTGC